TTATGGCGCCGTATGTGTCCTAGATATGACATCTTTCTAATTTTGATTGTATTAACCAGGTGAGGGCGTGTGTTCATTATTTCCAGTACCTCTTCATTTGTAGTTTTGCTGGTCCAGCTTATTCTTAGCATTCGGCGGTACATCCACATTTCAAATGAATTCAGTTTGTTGACGTCATACTGTCTTAATGTCCAGGTCTCACAGCCATATAGTAGTAGAGACCACACATAACACTTTTGTGTTCTTAACCTTATTGTGATTGATAGCTTGGGGTTACAGAGCATTTTACGCATGTTCATGAAGCCAGATCTTGCTATTTCAATACGTCTTCTAATTTCTTTTGAGTGGTCTAGCTAGCTGTTTAGCTCTCTGCCCAGGTATATGAAGCTTTGAGAGCTCTGAAGGGTAATACCATTGATTTGTATGTTGGGTATAATTTGTTCATGGGGGCTCTTGTAGAATACCATGATTTTGGTTTTGGAAAGATTAATATCCAAACCTAGTCTATGACTTTCTTCTGATAGTATGTTCATCAATATTTTTAGTTGGTCTTCTGTTTCTGCTAATACTACGGTGTCATCGGCATATCTTACATTGTTAATGATGATTCCATTGACTCTAGCACCTTCAGGGCGATCTTCAAGAGAAGCTCTGATGATATTTTCGGCATAGACATTAAATAGAAGAGGGGACAGAATGCACCCTTGACGCACTCCTCGTTCTATGTTTACATAATGGGTATTTCCGTTGTCTGTTCGAACACATCCTGTGTGGTTCCAGTATGTATTGCTTATTATAGCTATGTCGTGTCCGTCCAACCCTACTTCTTTTAGCACCTCAATCAATTTTTCGTGTCTAATGACACGAACCATATACGAATAAAACCATATTAAGAACGACTCAAGTATTCTTCACACTTATTGTGAATGCGGTTATAAATTACTCTCATAAAAATCTTAGAAGCATGACTCATTAGGGATACAGTTCGATGGTCTTCAGTATGTAGGCAGTATCGAATATCATATTGAAGAATATATACAATTACGTAGATATAGTTAGGGTTAGTTAGTCGAATTGTACCACCGAAGCAAACTAATTAAATCAAAACTTTAAAGTCACATTTATGTATTTTAATACAAAAGTAATTTTTTTAAAATTGTTTTTGTAAAAGTAGAATTGCTGTATTTCGCCTACCCTTTTCAAAATTTATCTGGAACAAGCACTCAAGCTTGGGGATCCCTCTCAATGACGAGACTACACTGTACACCTTATGTTTCGCTGATGACCAAATACTGATTGCCCAGGATCATGACGACTTGAGTTATATGACTCGGAAGATAAGAGAAGAATATAACAAATGGGGTCTCGAAGTCAACATTAAGAAAACTGAAGCCATGTGTATTGGAGGGACAAAACAGTCCATTATATTAGACCAGGGGTGGCCAACCTTTTTAAGTTGAGTGCCAATATGAGAACAAAAAAAATTTGGCGTACCACTAAAATTTTTCGACATACTAATATGGATACTATATATTAATAATATACGGTACAATATGTATTTCTTATGTAAATTCCACATTTTTCCGTTTAGTCAAGATAGTGGAGGTTTAAAAAATAACGTAATAAGTAAAACATAACAACAAACTTACTTTATTGTTAATAAAAATAAAATAAAAACGTTAAACAAAAAAACTTAAATATTTTCTTATTATCTAAAATTCAAATTATTAAACAGTTACTTATTTAATGTGGTATTTGAACTTGTATTTTTTTAATTAATTCATCTATATTGGGATTAATTTCGGAACTAGCCAACAGAATTAGATTTTTTAAATGCATGTCAGTTAATCGTGACCGATATTTTGATTTTATTATGTTCATAATAGAGAACATTAGCTAAATCGTGTAAATTTGGAAAATTGTTTGCTGGTACAAATTTCCAAAATTCAATATAATTGGGATCAGTAACAGTTGAAATAATTTCCCTATATTTGGTTTTTAGTATAGTGTGGTTCTGTAAATCAATAATTTCGATCTGTATTTCAGCTGAGTAACAATTGATATCTTGCAGAGAAATAGAAAAAGGATTTATGAAAAGGTCAACATTCATTTTGTCTTTTTGAAAATCTTTGAAAACCTAGCATAATAGATATAAGGTTTTTAAATCTGTCATAATTTGGAGTTCTACTGACCTTGTTGGCTAATTCCTGCATTAATGTGAAATTTGTCAATCTCTGTTCTCCAAAATCGTTACAAAAAAGCATAAGTTTATTCACAAAAGAAGATATATGACCAACTAGAGTAGGAAAAATACAATTTTTCCCTGTAATCTTAAATTTAATAGATTTAAATGTCTCATAATATCAGTGAGAAAAGCTAAATCCCAAAGCCAATCTTTATCATTAAGTAACGAGCACTCACTGGGTAGTTCATTGTTTTCTTGCAAATATTTTAAGACGCACTCCTTCAAGTTTCAAAACCTTTCGAGTGCATTTCCTTTGGAGAGCCAGCGCACACTGCAATGGAGAAGTAACTCTCCATCTTGCTCCGTTTCTTCCGCGAACAGTTCTCGAAATTGTCGTCGATTCAATGCCCGAGCTCGTATTTTGTTAATGCAGCGTGTTACAGGGTCAACAACAGATGACATGTTTGGGTCGTTGGCACAAAGAGCTTCCTGGTGAATAATACAATGGTACTTAAAAACTTTTCTTCCCAAATAGTTTTCCAGTAATGTAACAAACCCCTTTAGTCTACCAACCATGCAAGGAGCTCCATCTGTACAAATACTATCTAATTTTGACCATTCAACTGTGTTGACTTCGATTACGTTTTTAAGCTGTTAAAAAATGTCCTCTCCTGTTGTTGTGACTAGTTGGCGCAAATCCAGAAGCTCTTCGGCATTTTCAAAATTATCATTGGTATAACGGCCAAAAATGCTTAACTGCGCATTTTCTGTGTTGTCACAACTTTCATCCAACGCCAAAGAAAAGAATTTGCAGGATTGTAATCCACTTATAATTTGGGAAACAACATCCTGGCCCATATCATCTATACGGCGCATGACTGTATTTCGGGATAATGCAATATTATCGACCATATTTTTGATCTTTATATCTCCCACATTTTTAGCAAATATTGCCAGACTATTTTTAATTATCTCTTCTCCATCAGAGTAGGCTTTTTTCTTCCGGCTAACAGCAGAGAGAGTTCATATGATGTTTTAACCATAGTTACCATTTCATCACTACTCTTCTGAAACAGTGACTGTTGGCTGGCTAGGGTTTTCTTTTTTTTTTCAATAAAGTCGGCTCGCAAATGTGAACCAATAGGATATTTGTTGCTGAAGTCCTTATGCAGTTGTTTATAATGTCGTTCCAGGTTAAATTTTTTCGGAACTGCTACAGACAATCCACATATCAAACAAACAGGCTTTGAAGTATTACGATTAGTAAATAAAAATTGTTCTTCCCAAGCAGGTTGAAAATCGCGAATTGCAATATCATCTTCGTATTTTCGTTTTGAGGTCGAAGGCTTACTCGTGACATATCGAACAAATACTTTTAAAATTTTAAAGAAACAATGCGCGATGACAAAATGTGCACATACAACGGGGCAGTTTAAAATAAACTAAGCAAGGGTAACGCAGTCCTATTGCACATTACGACAGCTAGGATCACGTGCACCAATCGCAGCAATATCGCTCGCCAGAGGATGCAATGATGCCGCATCTATCGTAACTTCCGTAAACCTACCAAATTTCTTCTTATTATTTTTTGTTTTTTCAAGTTTTAATTTTTTTGAAAGTTTGATCAGTTTGAAAGTCCTATCAGTGGCACAATACGCGTGCCACTGATAGGACTCAATCGTGCCACAGAGTGGCACGCGTGCCGCGGGTTGGCCATCCCTGTATTAGACGATGGGGTAGAAATTAGAAACTGTGATGAATACAAGTACATGGGTATGAAGATTACTCAAGATGGAACACTCGATGCTGCTATAAAAGACAGAAACATACAGGGTAGAAAAGCCATATCCATGATGAACGGCATTCTGTGGGACCAAACAATATCTAAAGCGAACAAACAAATCATATACAACACCATACTTAAAAGTGTAATCACATATGGCAGTGAAGTTTGGGCAATGAAACAAAGAACAGAGAAACTCTTACTAGCCACAGAAATGGACTTCTGGAGAAGAGCAGCAGGCAAATCAAGAAGAGATCGGATACCAAATGAGAGAATACGAGAAATGATGGGAGTCAAGCATACAATAGTTGATGACATAAAAACAAACAGTTAATATGGTACGGCCATGTACAGGGAATTGGAAGAGGGAATTGAAAAAGAACTAGATGGAAGAGAAATCCCTCCAGGCCTATGGTTAAATAGAGAAGAATGGCGGTTAGGTGTCGGAAGGCGTCGGAGAACGCTGTAAACCGATAGTAGCAGTAGTAGTAATTTTTTTTGTAATAGAAATTGAATTTTGTATTTTTTTCGAACCAGGAGTCTCTTGCGAAAATAATAATTATTAACCGTAGGACATTTCTAACGAAACAATGATATTTCAGAACTATTTATTTTGACAATATTGTCCGTTTGGGATAGTTTCAAGTTAGATTTTTTTCCGATTCACATTTCTGATGCAATGTCATATTTTCGCTTCGTTTCGGAGAACGAATTTTGCTTTTAAAAACAATTTAACAATGAATAAATCTACTAACCAAACTATTATATTCTATTACGCAAGGTTAATTAAATTAAAAAATAATATGAGAATTTTGGTATATAAACAAATCATTTATTTAACAATAAACAGCTAACAATGAACATCATCAAATTATTTATGATAATAGGTATGCTACAAAAAATTGGTTTTTATTTAAAATGATAAATAATAAATTATTATAATGTGCCTGATATTTTTGACAATACGTTTACGAGAAATGCTTATCTATACATACTAAAAGCACGGCAGCTTAAAGAAAAATTAACTTTAATATGTTGTTAAGTGTCTTTTTGTTGTGTTTATTTTATGCTAGCGCCACAGAAGCATTTTATTCTAGAAATAATGTGTGCACCGATTTTAAAGCTTACGGTAACATAAGTAAGAGTAAAAAATGTTCTTATAATCCCGATCTAAATTCTGCACCGGTGAGTAATTAGTTTTTTCTTTTTAAATTACATTAGATAAGCAAAATAGAGACCTGTAGTTATATTAATTTTTTTTAGAAAACTTAAGGTTGATCTGCACCCCCCAAAAGACAAACTCCAAATTTAAAAAATTTAACATGTTTCTCCCGTCATAGTATCGTTCTCTTTCTAGTCGTTGTCTCAGTACTGATTATCGTGATTTCCTACTTTACGAGCAACAATCTCCATCGATGCAAGACGATCATTGATCATTGACAAACAAAAACATTGGATATAACTCCGTCGACAATTTTTACTGCCATCCATTCACATTTCTTGTTGCAGTTTTTAGTGGTTCATGTATAAAAATGTTAACCCTTAACTACTTTAATCTGGGTCCGTCGGACCCAGAGAGCTCCCGGCAACCACGCACTCTCCCCACCTTAAGTAATGCTGTGGCTCCATCTATTCTCATTCTCCGCTTATTTAGTCTTTAGTCTGAAATACGATAGTGAAGAGTGCATAGCGAAGACTATAAAGAGAAAGAAGAAGAAGATCAAAGCGACTTAAGAGCAGGTAGATCGTGTACCGACAACGTATTTTGTCTAAAACAAGTCATAGAGAAGAGATCTGCTAGACATCTGGAAACCCATCTTACATTTGTGGACCTACAAAAAGCATATGATACAGTCCCAGTATCAAGACTGTGGAAGGTATTAGAACAAACGAACATCAATCACAACTATATAACTGCACTTAAAGAACTGTATTAGCAGTTCGCAGCTGCTATATGTAGCAGCGGCACTTAAGAACTGGAAAAGGAAAATACACGGAATGGGTATAAAGATAGATGACAGATACCTGTTTACTCTTCAGTTTGTAGATGATCAGGTCATAGTGGCCAATGACAAAGACGACATGCAATTATGATTAGAAAGCTGATAGAAGAGTATGAGGAATGGGGCTTGACAGTTAACGTAAATAAAACGAAATATCTATGTGTAGGCTCTCAGAGCGAAAATTTGGAGTTGAACAACGGTCAAGAAATTCTGCAATGTCAAGAATATGAATATTTAGGTATCAAAATCCACAAGGAAAATTCCTGTAGCTGGCTGTATACCACGTATAACAAAAAGAGTTAATCTTTGTAAATGGGTATATTTATTTAAAAAACCCTTAAAAGGGCCACATCATAAAACAAACGTTTTTCGGACCACACAGTCCATCATCAGGTTTTTAAAATCGAAAAATGCTAGGTCACAATGCCTGAGCCACCAAAATACTAGGGTAAAAACCCTTTAAATTACATTTAGTTATGAAAGATTGTACATTGTGTTGTAAAATAACTGTGATGTTCAGTATTAAATTAAATTTGACTAAAGGTAACACATGGCTCAATCGGGTTCCAGAGCCGGTGAGAGAGAACCTCTACACTCGGAGAACAGCTGGGAACTGATTCAATCAATCAGTTCCCAGCTGAAACATTAGTTAATGTTTCTGGACTAATACCTCTCATTGAATCAGAGATCTTTTCTCTTAATTCTTGGAGAGAATTAGGCCTATCGTCTTCAATTCCATATAGTTTGGACTTGATATATCCCCACATAAAAAAATCACAAGGTGCAAGATCAGTGATCTTGCAGGCCAAAAAATATCTCCGTGTCCACTAATCAATCGATTAGGAAAAGTCGCACTGAGATATTCACTAACGATGCGAGAATTATGTGCAGGACAACCATCGTGTTGAAACCATATGGAATCGAAAGGAATTGGTAAATTACGAAGGGCTGGGACAATTTGATTTTGCAGAAGTTCCAAGTATTTCCGCCCAGTCAACATACCGTCTATAAAAAATGGACCAATGACATGATTCCCTATTATGCCTCCCCAAACATTTACTTGAGGACGCTGGGTACGAGCGACATAAATCTGACGAGGATTTCCTCGGGACCAATACCGAGCATTCATTGAATTGTGACGACCATGCAATGAAAACGTACATTCATTGGTGAACAAGACGTTCTCTAAAAAATGTTCATCTTGATGTGACATTTCCATTGCAGTTTGACAAAATTCTAAACGTCTATATTGATCCCAAGTGAATTGTTCGTTGGATTTATGAAGTTTATAGGGTCGGTATCCATGTCTTTTCAAAATTTTACCAACTCTAAATCTTGAAATTCCATATTGTTCTCCGAGACGAGATGTTGATTGGGTAGGATTTTGCTCAATACTTGCACAAATCAAAGTGTCCCTTAGTTCCAAATCTGGATTTACCTCCCTTCGTCTACGAACTCCTCTTGGAGCGAACACGGGTCCATAAGTAAAAAAATTACGTATAATAGATTGAATTGTTGATCGTGATGGAGCCGGCTTATTTGGAAACATATGTACAAATTGTTGTCTAATCATGTTGTCTGAGAATCCATTCACATGCCAGACAACAATTTGCACTTTTTCCTCAACCGTTAAAACCATTTTCACGAATTGTTTTTTCAATAAAAATTTCTGTTTACCGTGCAAAAACACTTCTCGATATGTTATTATTTGATGGCTTAAAGGCTTCGCTTCGCGCGCATCCATTCCAATGTTGTCAATTGTTTTGAAAATCATTACCTGTACAGAGGAATTGATATTAACATTGAGAATTTAGTGATGGATTTGATATAAACAGTCTTCACCGGATTATTTTGCATTCACAATTGAAGACTGTATGAATTTAATTTGAATTATTTTGTATTTCCGTTTTATAACATTGGAATAAAAATAAATTGTAAATAATGAGTTTTTCGAAAATTTGTTACCTAATATGTATCATATTTTCTATTATTTTTTTATTGATAAAACAAAAATTTTACCCTTGGTGTGAATTGAACCCAATTTTCTCGTCAATAGACAACGTCCCTAACCACTACACCAATTTCACATACATTAATTGTTTTCGGACAAAACATACCTACCTTTATTTTAGTCAAATATTTCAGTTGAGTTATTTTTACTATTAAATAAATTTAAAGATTTATAATTTAAAATCGCTACTAATGAATGTTTTTTACTATAATATATCTTAATTTATTCAAGTATTTATTCTAACATCAGAAATTATTAAAATAAAATATTTTTGAGGTTATCCGTATAATTATGACTGAAGTCAAATAGCCACGTCTAACGTCTAAAGGTTTGAGACTGTCGATGGTGGTAATGCAATGTAATGTAAATTATAGGTTTCTATCGATTATTTCCCACCTCTACGAGTTTTATCTGTTTTTATTTCACAAGGTAACTGTGTTTTCTATCTCTTACGTTAAAAAGCCGGATGCTAAAGCACTCATCACTGTATACTGTATTTACAAAATTATCAAGTTTTTTCCTTATGTGCGCACAATTAACCGACTTTACTTTACTCTATTTGTGATTTCAACACAATTCGTCCCACCTCACAATCACTTTTTTGTTCCAGAGTGAAATAGCGACTCGACATGGATTTAATTTAGAAGAACATAGAGTTACTACACAAGATGGATACATCTTGACAATTTTTCGAATGAGACCCAAAAATAAGGATTTTAAATCTTCCCAGGACCCAATTATATTGCAACATGGAATTTTCGTCGATGGTAGATCATGGTTTATATCTGGGAATAGTTCATTAGGTATAGAATACTATATTATACGTCTGAATCTTCCTCTTCTTCCCTTTTTCCTCACTTTGCCTTTGATTGGTGGAATTCTCATTGGTTCTGTGCCAGTTTTTCTGTGTCGTATTTTTATAAATTATTTGTGTATTTATTTGTACTTTTATTGAAAGTTTATTTTTTGTTTAATCTTTTTGTTTATCACTTATATTTTTCTTGCCTTATAATTTTTAGTTTTTGAGCTTCTGCTGTGTTTAATAAGCACATGCGTGGATAAGTTCGGCCATTTGAGCAGCGTTTCTATCAACACAGGTGCAGACAGACTCCATGCGTTTAATTTGTGGCCCGAGCATTGCCATATTTGAGTTCGTTTATGCGAACAATTTTTAATATTTTTCGATGCCTACTGCCTACATAATAGATTACTTAGACCTAGATTAAAAAATTGTTGATAATTATATATAAATTAATACTGTATTTTCTTATATCGAAGTATAGCGAAATGGTGCTTCCCCCGCTTGCATAGGCCTCACGCTTCTGCTTCCTTGTTTGATATTTTTTAATAGTGTTTGATATTTTTTATAGTGACCACAGTCTTTTAAGTTCAACTGACGATAGAACTAAACGGACTAAAGCTTTAATTTCCTCTATTCTATATTTGACTATTTCATATATCTTCTTTCTCGTTTTTTAACTAACCCACTTGATTTTTTTTATTTTTTCAGTTGTTAGTTCCTCTATGTTATGTTTTTTCCACTGTACAATCAGTTACTATTAAATCACAGTTCTCCACCTCTCTGTCGCTTCTCATTACCATTTATTTAATTTTACTCAACACTAAAGAATGTGCGAAATATTTTACAGCTTTCAAATTGGTCGATAATGGTTACGATCTATGGATACCAAATTTTAGGGGCACTACATACTCAAAAAAACATGTAAATAAAAATATTAGTCAAAAAGAATATTGGAATTACAGGTAAGTAAATGTAAATATAAGTTAAAGTATATTAAATTGGTGGTACAAGGACTATTCAATGGAAACATTTTTTATTGATGTTTTGATGATTTTGCCACCATGACCATGTGTTGGTTTGAGTTTTATTCTTGTTTAGGTACTAGTGACGTTGATTCTACTACGTTCATTTTAGTTTTTATTTACATACTTCTAACACTAACACTAAAAACAAAATTAATTTAGATTTATTACATAACGCTACAAATTTATTTATTAGACTAACTCTCTACAATTTAATTTCTCTTATTTATATTGTCCCGTTATTCTGCAATTCTATGACGTTCGGTGACGTCAGACCATCATCGTTAGAATGAGAATCAGTAGCGTAGCAAGAGGACTGACGTAAGACCACATATATGCATTGGATAATATTCAAAGTTGCATCTACTGAGGTAATAAATGACATTCATACATAAAACATACTTGCTGTTATCCAATTTTTAGCAATTGGGGGTTGTCAGTCAATGGGCATTTATACAAAAATAATAAGGGTTCAATTCTTGGAAATACTTACATATCAGTTTCTACAACAGTACCAGTATATGTATCAGTATATCTAGTGATATGTAAGATTTTTTTTTCATTTATTTTAAATTATTTTATTAAAAATGACTCATACCGTTAAAATCAGAGTGAAGCTGGTCTATAAAATTTTAATATCTAATTTAAATTGAAAACACACGTCCATATTTCTATTCTATTTTATTTTATCTACTCGTCATGATTGACTTCTTCTTTAAGTGCAGTCTCCCAATGGGAGGTTGGATATCATCATCACTATCTTTACTCTATCTACTGCTGCTCTGAAGAGTTCTATAGAACTGCATTTAAACCAGTCCCTTAAATTCTTCAACCATGACTCTCTCCTTCTTCCTATACTCCTTCCTCCTCTTCATATCGCTGTCCCCTCATAACGTGTCCCAGATATTGTAACTTTCTTATTTTTATTGTGTTTCAGTGATCACAGAATTGTTAAAGACAAAATCAAAATTAACGCCACAACAGACAGACAAAAATTTAAACCATCTAAAAAAGAGATAGATACAGAACTTCTTCAAGAACGCAAAGAACAATACATAAACCAGCTAAAAAGAAGTGACATATCACAGCTAAAGGGTTTGCAACTAGACGAATTAAACGATAAAATAACAGCAGAACTACTAGAAGCAGGCCTGAAGATTGCTAATAAACAAAAGCGAAAACAACAAAAAATTAGCGCTAAATCGCAAGATATGCTAAAAAAGACGACAACTCCTGAATGATAACAAAAGAACTACAGTGAAGTTTACCGAACTAAACAAAACCATAAGAAAGCAGATAAAGGAAGATTTAAAGAAATACCAAGAAGATCGCATTAAGAAAATCATAGAGAAGAACAAAAGTTTACAAACAATGAAGACAAATATAGGAAAAATAAAACTAATAATACTTAAAGCTGAGAACAATGAAGAAAGAGATCTAAGAGAAATAGTAAAAATCACAGAAAGATATTACACAGACCTATACAGTTCTAAAAATGACCCACCACTATCATCTAAACAGAATCTTTCGAGGAAAATACAAAATGTTGGGTCAGAGGTATTACCAGAAATAACTGAAGATGAAATCGAAAAATCCATAAACGACATGAAAAGAAATAAAGCGGCCGGTGAGAACAAAATACTGGCGGAACTGCTAAAAGAAGGAGGAGACCCGATAAAAAAAATGCTAAAAATACTGTTCAACAAATGTCTGGTTTGAAGGTAAAATACCTAAACAATGGAGAAATGCCAACACAATCTTAATACATAAGAAGGAGACCGAACAGACCTAAACAACTACCGTCCTATTTCTCTTTTGTCACAACTATATAAAACCTTCACAAGAATAATAAACAACCGACTAACCTATAAACTTGATAACTACCAACCAGTGGAACAGGCCGGATTCAGGAAATGAATACAACCTTTCGCTGTACTTAGCATTCGTAGATTATGAAAAGGCTTTCGACAGCATTAAACACTGGGCGGTTTAAGAAGCTCTGGTCAATAGTAGAATAGATTCAAGATACCGACAATTGATACATGCTATTTACCAAAACGCAACCATGACCGTAATTCTGGACGACAAATTAATAACGGATAATATAAAAGTTAAACGAGGAGTCCGACAAGGCGATATAATTTCACTTAAACTGTTTACCCTGACCCTCGAAGACATAATAAAATCAACAGATTGGAAAACAGAGGAATATGTATTAACTAAAAATACCTAAATCACCTTAGATATGCGGATGATATACTCCTGATCTCCTCGGAACGACAAGAACTGGAATTAATGCTGAATGAACTTCATGAAAAATCAATGCAAAAAGGCCTAAAAATTAACTTCAATAAAACAAAAGTAATGACAAACACGGAAGACCAAGAGGCAATAAAAATACGAACAGAAAAAATAGAACAGGTAAATGAGTATATCTATGTAGGACAAGCAATCAGAGCTAACAGAGAAAATCAAACAGCCGAAATGTCGAGACGAGTAAGAGTGGGATGGGCAGCGTTCGGCAAACTTTCTTATGTTCTAAGTAATCAAACAATGCCTCTATACTTACGAAGCAAGGTATATAACTCCTGTATAATACCGGTGCTCACCTAAGGAGCACAGACATGGACATTTACACAAGTCAATGTGGATAGGATAAGGAAGGCACAAAGAGCGATGGAGAGACAAATGTTGGGCATATCACTTAAAGATAGAAAACGTAACCATTGGATCAGAACCAGAACAAAGACAGTAGAGGCGATAGAACAAGCAAAACTGAAATGGAAATGGGCTGGACACAATGAACGTCTCCAAGACGGACGATGGAACAATGCCATCGGAAAGTAGCGTCCATACAATGCAAAAAGATCAAGAGGCAGACCACCGATGAGGTGAAAAGATGACATCAGGAAACAAGGAGGTCCCACATGGCAGAGAACAGCTAAAGATGGGGAAAGATGGAGAGAACTGGGGGAGACCTATATCCAACAATGGAAGGATAGAGAATAGGTTCAAAAAAAAATTGTGTTTATTATTTCGCATTCTTTGCCCATTTCTGGCAATACTTCCATGTTAGTTTTCTTCTGTGCCCATGCTATTCTAAGCATCCTCCTGTAACACCACATAATAAAGAACTGTAACTTATTTATGTGTTCTTGCTTCAATGCCCAGCTTTCAAGTCCATATTGTAGTATTGAAAACACGTAGCATCTCAGTGCTCTTACTCTCAGTTCGAATCTTAGGCCTTTGGTGCAGATAATTGTTTTCATTTTTACAAACGCATTTCTTGCTATTTCTATCCTGGCTCTTGGAAAAGAAATGGCTCTGGAAATCCAGGTTCCTAGGTATTTGTATTTATCAACCCAATGTATATTTGTTTTCTTTGTTATTATCATGTATTTGGTATTTTTTATATTCATTTTTAGTCCACATTTTTCACAAATCTGTTTTGTTTAGCAGTAATTGGAGTTGTTCAACAGAGCTTGCCATAATCACGATTTCATCTGCATATCTTATGTTTTTAATAGATCTTCCATTAATTATTATTCCTTCACTTTAAGATACTAATGCTTCTTCAAAAATGGCTTCACTATATACATTATATAGTAATGGGGACATAATACATCCCTGCCTTACTCCCCTCTTGATTTCAAGTTTTGGACTGGGTTCGTTATCTATTACGATTTGTGCTCTTTGATTCCAGTAGAGGTTTGTTATTATTCGTAAGTCCTTATGGTCTATGTTTTTTGTCTTTAGAATTTGGACTAATTTTTCATATCTTACTTTGTCAAATGCTTTTTCAAAATCAACGTAATAAACATGCACATCAACATTCATATCTAGGTATGCATCTTTGAGCTAACACATTAAAAGCAAATAACGCTTCTCCGTTTCTGAATCCAAACTGACTATCATCTATTCCTTCTTTCAGTTTTTTATTTATACGACCATGTATTATTTTCAGGAATAATTTGAGAATGTGACTTATTAGTGATATTGTTCTATATTCACTGCAATATTTAGCGTTTGTATTTTTAGGGATAGCACAAAAGGTGGAACAGACTTTTGACTGGCATCGTAGACACTGTGTATTTTAGCCTTTAGGCACTGAAGATGCTGTAAAAGTTTGTAAACAGCGAAACCGGCAGTGCATTCCCTTTTTCAACTTTAATAAAACCTATTAATTATGAGTAGAAGACCTATTTCCCTAACTTTCATGAAGTTCAGTTAGTTTATCAGGTTCTAGTTTTAGAATTATTTGTGCTGTTTTCCTCATAACTGGAAACTGATCATTTCTTAAAACTGAATCAGAGAACTACGAACGCAGAGAAGCGACACTCCTTTGATCTTGCGTGGGCAAGCCGCCAACGAGTGAAAATGACAGGAAAGCACCTTATTTTTTAATAGTCAGTGGGCATATTACACAATATAAATTCTAAAATAAAATTGAGCATTTATGTTGACTTTCAATAAATATGAAATATTGCACTGAAAAAATAATTACATGCAGGGCCGGCTTTTGTTGACATTCTAAATGGTGTAATTATTTTTGATTTACAAAAGGTTGCAAATACATCGCACAACGCAAAGTAATGGTGAAAATCGTATTGATGGAACCATAGATGAAAATACTTTTTTGTTTATTCTGATGTTGACATTGATAATACAATAATACACCGATTCTTTTTGGCTTGTGTTGATATAATTTGTTCGTCGTGGAATTTCCTAATAAATTATCAATCGTAATATAATCGAAAAATAACAAAGCCATTGTAACTGCCACGGAAATTTCACAAACTCTAAAAATTCCAATTCTCTTTGGGTGCGACTGAGAAACAAGAAACTTTATATTGATATCGATTGTTAATGTCTTGGAAACCAATTAAAATTACATTTTTCCATTAAAGTCGAATATTGGAGTAAACGATATTCGACTAAAACGAATAAAAAATCAAGAAGTAACTATTGTACGAGTATATTTCTATAAATATAAAAATGTAATAACCTAAAAAATAATCAAAAAAGTATTACGAATCATTAGAAGAGAGCATTAGGAAGATAAAACGAATTTATATTATTGTCATTACACATGATTCGGATATACATAGTAAATCCAGACTTTCAGTTTAAACTAATATTTCGATACAATTTATTTTGTTTACAATAGATTCAGAGTTAATACATACGATTTTTAGTTGATTGGTATTGCCTTTAAAAATATTTGTAGTATCTAGTTTGCCTAAGCCGATTTGTAACAATTATTTCTGGTTTTGTTGTTAACTGTGGTTAGTACAATTCTTATACTTGAAGTCAAAACGACGAACCATTGAACCTTCAGGCCAGATACTGGGATTGAGATCTTCATTTTTATAATCCAATGGATATGAAACTTTAAAGCTTGCTTGGTACTCCGTAACCTTTAACTTCTTGAAGTAGAAATGTATATTTGGAGCATTTACCTTTAAATTATTGGTCAAATCTTCCGTTGTCTGTTGTGGAATTATATTATGGTGTAAATAAATAATGATTGATTGGAGTAAGATTTATGTCTGTTTACTCTTAATATTGGCTATGGGCATATGTGCTTGGTTGTAAATATAGTAATTGTCATCCAGTTCTAGTCTGTTAACATGTAACTAACTTTCGCAATAAAATAATTACTAAAATACTAGATAGTTGTGTCTGAGATAAGCGAATCGACTATACATACACTACATAAAATCCAAGATGGACGCCACTACACAATAGCGGATTACTTATTTTTTCACAACTACTTCAATATGGGTATCAAATGAAAGGGTTTGACTAGTAGAAAAGAGTTCATTACAGAAAATCCAAAATGGCCGCCAACAAAATGGTGGATTACATATTTTCGTTGGGCGTACTGTTGTACGCCAATGATTTTTTTTATTTTTATTGACTTCCGAAAGGCATTTGATCGTATTAAGTACTCTATATTGATCGAAGTTCTAAGAAACATTGGTTTGGATGGCAGAGACGTTCGCATAATTGCAAAGTTGTATTGGAATGAAACATAAGTTTTAGTAGACGGTTTGGAATCACATCGCCGTTTACTCCAAAAGAACGTTCAGAAATGCACTTTCTGAAAAACAAGAAGGAATAATTATGAACAGTGACTTCATAAATAATTTGCGATATGCGGACGATACAGTACTCCTAGCTTCTACTCCAGAAGATTGTGCAAACATTAATTAACAGTGTTGTTGAGAGCTGTAAGGAAGCAATTTTCCCAATTTTCTATATATTCCTCTATTCCTCTATTCCAATATTCTATAACCCTCTATATATTTTTATTTCCTAAAAATACTATATTCGTATTGTTGTCTGCGAGCGCTTTCACGCCAGTAGGCCAACATCTGTGTTGATTTTTTGACCTGAGCCTTCGGAGACAATAAATTTAATGTGTGTTCCTAGTTCTCTGGTTTTTATTTTGAACTATCCCTTGGCAAACCAAAATTTATTTTTTTATTGCTTCACTTAACGAGAGCTCGGGCGGACACGTCGGTGTCGGCTTACTCAAAGTCAAATTAATACTATTATGTAATAACTAATAATAATTACAAAGCAATAGTAATTACCTGTTATTATTCTTAGGAAATCTAAATAAACTTATTCCTTTTCCTGTCACAGACGAACATCCGCGAAACGCACAACAATAACCAGAAGACATTTTAAATACTTATAAATTAAACTTTTAACTATAAACTATAACTATAAACTTATGTATTTAACTTATATATTTTAACTATAACTATAAACTTTTAACTACTAAGTAAATTAGATAAATGGTCAAATGCACTTGTATAGTCGAGAGTTTACCACATATGTGTTTTTGACAGTAAAGCACCTTATTTGGGTCATGCGTATACAGAAAAGATACACGAATTCCGGGCCTCGTGTCACTTCTCTGTGTTCGTCAGCTCTCTGACTGAATTATATAATTTTCATTTAATAATATTTTTAGTGTTCATGAAATCGGTATCTACGACGTCGCAGCAATCGTAGAATATGTCGCTAACTTTACTGAAAGAAAGGACATCTCTTATATTGGCCATTCCATGGGTACCTCAGCTTTTACAATTTATGCGACAGAGAGACCAGAACATGCCAGGAAGTATATAAAGCAGATCATATTTTTGGCACCAGTGGTTAACTTCGGTCATCCTCCAGTAGCTTTAAAGATAGTACTACCATATACTTATGTAATTAAAGTAAGTGAGCGTTTGTTCTAAAACTAGTTTCATGTGGGACCTTCTTTATCTTTTTCTCTATTTTCTGGGTATAGGCTGAGTCTTTTCCGTCTTCATAAGTTTTGGTGTATTATCAACTTTTGCTGGGTTTTTTCATTGTAGTACAGTACTATTTTAGTTTACTTTTTAGTGTGTAATATAGAGCCTCTCCTTGTGCTCTTTCAAGTGCTATTCATTATAAATATTGCCGCGATGTTTCTATATAATTTCTTATACTTTCTTGTACACTTACGACATTGCGCATTAATTTCGTACTTATTCTTTGAATAATTTGTTGAGTCTTGAGCAAATTTAACTCTATTTGAAAATTTTATTTTTGACTTGTATTTTTTTCCTGACTTTATTTTGCAGTCTTCTTTATTGAGTGACATCATTTGAAATAATATCATTTAAAATCTATTGATTTTGTTGTTACGTATTCAAAACATACGTTTTGAATTTGCTGCCAGATATTTTAGTACAAGGGCCGAACACGTGAGGCGCTATAAACTCTCTCCCAACTTCTTACTATAGAAGATACCTGGTATTTCTCTTGATTACTTACATAAATCCGATTGTGTTCCTACACCTGTGTACTTTATTATATAAAACCGATTAACAACAATCTACAACAAAATATCAATCTACTCTCAGCTGTAGTGTCATTTTTGACAAAAGTATTATTTTTCTCTTCTTTCTACCTCTCTCTCCCTTCAGCCCTAAGTAATCCAACTTTGGACATAGGTCTTCCCCAAATCAATCCAGTGTTTTCTATTTTGAGCCACTTGCTTCCTTGAGTTGTGTTCTCCGCATGTTATCCGCCCATCTCATTTGTGGTCTTCCTTTGCTTCTCTTTCCTAACCATGACCCCCATTGTTGTATTTCGTGGTTCCTTCTCTTCTCATTTAGTCGAGCATTGCGTCCTGCGAAGCTCTTTTTTAATTTGGCAGTATGTTCTTCTGCGTATTTTACTTTGGTTTTTCTTCTAATCCATTTGTTTGTTTTTTTTTTGTCTATAAGTCTCACCCCGAGCATTGATCTTTCCATCGCTCTTTGTGCCTTTACTATATAATCCATATTAGACTCGGTGAGTGTCCACGTCTGTGAATCATACTTGAGTATAGGGAGGATACACTGATCGTAAAGTCTGGTTTTCAAAATTTGTTCTATTTTAGTGCTTTTCAAGATTCAACTCAGTTTTCCAAATCCTGCCCACGCTAAATTTATTGTTCTAGTAATTTCGGCAGTTTGATTTTCTTTGTTAACTTTCATTATCTGTCCCAGGTAAATGTATTCGCTTACTGTTTCTAAATTTATGTCGTTCAATGTTATTTCTCCAATGTTCGGTGTATTTGTCATTATTTTTGTTTTTTCCAAGTTCATATTAAGACCTACTTTTTCCGATGCTTGACATAGTTGCGTCATCATGGTCTGTAGTTCTTCGAAACTTACTAGTAGCGAATATTACAATGTCATCAGTGTATCTCAAATGACTTAGTTTTCTTCCATTAACATTTATTCCTTTATCTGCCCAGTTAATGTCTTTGAACACGTCTTCCAGTCCCATTATACATAGGTTTGGTGAGATAACATCTCCCTGGGGAACTCCTCTATTAATATATACCACCATTCTTAAGTAAATGTGAATCCCAGATAATCAAATGTTAGTTATATGGTACGGGAAAAAATATTTTCTCAGCTCTTTCTAATAGTGCATCGTTTATTATTAACTGACTATTCTAAATAGCTGCAGCCATCATAAAATGATCAATTGTTACAATAAAAAATATATTATCATACCAATTATTTTAGGAAATGTTTGATTCACTCAAAGTATACGCTATAGGAAACCTGTCAGAAGTTCAAAGACTATTCACCACAGCGTTCTGTAGAAACTATCCCCTAATCGTGGGTTGTCAAATAGCCATGTCCATGGTTAGTGGAATAGTAATGGAACAGGTTAGGCCCGTAAGTAGTTTACAGTTTATCTTAGATTATTTTATTGGAACAAATAGACTGAAGCCCTAATGTTGTGAACAAAAAAGATACTACGTTACTTCAATTTCCAGTTATTAACTTGTTTACTAATTAGTTTCGATTATATATTATTTCAAACATAATTTTTTTACATTGTCACTCCGTAAATAGTAATTATAAATGTGACAACATTGTAAATGTATATGTCGTAGGCAAGTATGAAATACAGGCATTCTTGCAAAAGCCTAGTCATTTTCGTAATGACTTGGCAATTTGTATACAGTTTTCATTTTTACAAAATGACTTCACCTTTTAGGCATTTACGAAACTACCGCGGAAATGGTAATTCTATTTTGAAACAGTGTTGCAATTTAGGCACAGATCATGAAATATAAAAAAAATTGTACTAACCTAATTTTCTAACCATAGTTTTCCAATTTCCATGATTACAGATTACAGCAGTAATCTGCAAATGGAAATCTGTAATCATGGCAAGTGGAGTGAGTATAGATAACAGAGCTAGGAGAAGAGTCTCTATTGCCATTCGAAAAAATCTTAAAAACAATATTAAATCGTGGACTGAAGTAAATGAACAACTGCTAATACTGGAAATGAAAAAGAACGGGCACAACATCGTAATTGTTGGAGTGTATGCCCCAAATGAAGATGCATATCCAGAAAGTAAAGACGATTTCTACAAGATGAATGAAATACTTTCTTAAGTTAAAGAAAACTGTGAAATCTTTATAATAAGAGATTTAATCGACAGAGTAGGGAGAGAAAAAAATAACAGAGTCGTAGGAAGATATGGGGAACAAATAACCAATGGCAATGGAATGCGTCTTAGAGATTTTTGTGAAACAATGTCTCTCAAAATTATAAATGGAGTTTTTCAACATAGAGAAATCAACAAATTTACCTGGATACAACTACTAGGAATCTGCGCTCGATAATCGACTATGTCCAATGTCAAACTTCTCAGCTGAAAACAACTGACGTAAGGGTATACCGTGGATCAAAATGTGGATTCGACCATAGATTAGAGGAGGGACAACTTATGACCAACGTGTTAGTTAACTATCGCAAAAACAATAACACGCAGGTACATAATATAGAAAAGAGACAATAAGTAACATCCCCTAAATATAACCTAGAAAGTTTAAAAGAAGATTCAACAAAATTTCTTTACAAATTACGACTGGCCACAAAATTAAAAAATGTGGATCGAGAAAATATATCAGCGGAAGAATTATACCAGCAACTATCAGAAATAGATGTCAACGAGAAAGTAAGAAGATTACAAGATATAAAAAAATTTAATCGAGATGTAAAAAGAGAAGTAGTGAAAAGTAAAAAGTGAGATGTGGGATCGAATATGTGCAGAGGTGGATAGGTATATGGGTGGAACAAGAGTTGGGCAAGCATGGAAGGTGATTAAGTCTTTCCGGAGGGAAGGAAATGAAAACTCTAACTTACAATTAAAAGATATAAAACAGTGGAAACACCATTATGAGTTTTTACTGACAGAGGATAGATGTAAATTCCAAGAGATCGAAATAGAAGAAATGTCCGAACATACACAAATAATTGAGATAACAACCGGAGAGTTAAGCGATGCCCTCAAAAGATCGAAAAACGGTAAAGCAGCAGGACATGGAGACATCCCAATTGAGTTGGTAAAGTATGGATCAAAAATTTCATAAGATACTGGTTAAACTATTTAACAAATGCTTAAAAAGACATAATATCCCTGATGATTGGAATGTTGGATAGATCAGCTCAATATTCAAAAAAGGAGATAAACACAAATGCTCTAATTAGAGGAGAATAACTGTTATCAGCTCAGTGGGGAGGTTGTACGGTCGAATAATAAAAGAAAGAATTGAATCAGAATACGAAGACATAGAACAAAATTGATTTCATGCAGGAAGATCGTGCACTTATGGTATATTCGTTCTGCAGCAGGTAATAAAAAAAACGGTAGGCAAGGAATCTATCTACCCACCTATTGATTGTAGATTTAGAGAAGACATACGATACGGTACCTTTAAAAAAACTGTTTCAAACATTGACGAAAGTAGATCTCAGTAAAGAGTATGTGGATGCTATCGCAAATATATACAAAAATGCAAGAAGTGTCGTTAAAGAAGAAAACTTAATATCTGAATCATTTCCAATAACAAAGGGGCTTAAACAAGGATGTTGTCTATCTCCTACCTTTTAAAATCTATATTCAATCATCGCTAGAGCAGTGGAAGAAACAAGTATCCGGAATGAATATAAAATATGGGGCCTCAATATGAATATGTCAAAGACAGAGTGACTTAAAATAGGAGATGATGAAGAAGATCCAAACTTAGAAATTAGAAACACAAAAACATACTACATAATATCTACAGAAGGCACTACTAAAAGAGACAGTGTAGACAGAACTGAAACGAGGCAACTAGTGTGGTATGGTCACGTGAAGCGAATGAATGAAGATAGATGGCCAAAAAAAGCTTTAAATTATATACCACAACAAAGAAGAAGAAGGGAAAGGCCTTCAATTTTATGGGAAGAAAATGACAGAAACGGATGGCGGTCGAAATGCGAGAAGCGGCAGAGGCTGTATGAGCCTCGCTTTTATGTATGTATATGAATAAATTATGCCTTTTTGTAATATTTTTTTCTTGGTTTAACAACATAAATATTGGTATTTATATTTATTTAAATAGATTTCATATTATTTTGTAATACTTTTTTTGTAATAGTTTTTTTTTTGTAAAAAAAAAAATGGAAAAAATAGCCAAAAAATAGTTTAAAAGATTTTTACCAGTTTTTTATTTACATTTTACTCTATATATTATTTATTATATTAACTATGTTTTTTCCAGGAAGTTGTCCCACTTATCGTAAAACTCTTCCCTGTAGCGATATCAGTTAAATCCTTAGTGCATTTTGCACAAATTTCTCTTAACAATGGAACTTTTCAACAGTATGACTATGGCGATGAGCTTAATATGAAAAAGTACAATTCGAAAACGCCTCCAAAATATGATATAGACAAACTGAAGATTCCTATCACAATTTTTGCAGGAAGTCATGATATACTGTCTGAAATTCAGGTTGGTATTTTCTTTACTTTCCAAATTCTTAAACTATTAACTTGTCATAATAACGATTCATCATCGATATTTCGATTCATTTGATTTGATTTTCAATTTTGATTCATCATCGATATTTTGAAATATAAGGACAAGGTACTTTACTCTTGAGTGAAATTCATATTTTCTGGCACACTTTTTGTAAGATTGATCAAATTTATTATCTGATGGTTGCTTAGGTTTTAGACCACGCACGGCTTTTTAGGAAGAATATTTTTTCGTAAAATTAATAATAAAAAAATTACCCATATTGGTATATATAATATATGTAGTCTAGAAGTGATTGTAGTAAAACTATGTCAACTTTTTAATTTTTAGGATGTACATCGATTCTACGACAGCCTTAAATCACCGAAAGACCTACATACATATGAATTATCCCATTTAGATTATATGTACGGAAAAGATGTAATTGATGTGTATAATGATATTTTGCGAGTATTAAAAAAAGATGTTAAATAAATTATCAATTGTTTTAATATTTTTATTTACATTCTTGTCATATGGTATCGTTACAACTAAAGTAAGAGGACTTTATAGTTCTTAATTTTGGCGAGAAAACAAGGAACGGCAACAATGGTTTGATAAACAATGACAAAATATAAGATATAAAAACAACGCTGCAGAAAAAATTCAAACAAAGTCATAGAAAAGAATGTACAGAGATTATATAAATAATACTGAATCAGACATACAACAGAGAATGAAGCCCCCTCCAGCTCACCTGTAAAAATTAAAAGAAATTCTTCTACTGTGAGTTTGATGCCAATACCTGGTAATAGGGATGGGAAAAACCTACCGGTTTTAACCGAAAACCGGTTTTTTTACTTCGAAATAACCGGTTTTATCGGTTGTTTTTTTGTCCCGGTTATAACCGGTTTTTTATTTTTAAAGTAAAAACCGGTTATTAGGTTTTTACCGTGAGTAGGATTCTACCAAAACGAGCACTGAACGCCAGAATACAGGGAAAGAGACCAGTTGGAAAGCCAAGAAAGCGCTGGGAAGACACAGTAAGCAGCGACGCACAAGCACTTTTAGGAGTCCGTGTATGGAGAAGAGCAGCCACAGACAGACAAGGGTGGAGGCAAAAAATAAAGGAGGCCAAGGCTCATTTTGGGCTGTAGTGCCGTAGAAGAAGAAGAAGAAGTGAGTAGGATTAGGTTAGGTATTATTTTGGATCCCACCCAATCATAATTATTATTCTCAAGTAATTATTCCAAACAAAACTAAAATTCAATTTTTATTTTATTTAATAGATACAGAAGCAAAAGCTCACATTAGCCAGAAACAATTAAATTTTATTATAGTATTTCGTTGAAAAAATATTTGTAATCTTAATATTTTTAAATAAGAAGTGATCTGGTATTTATTATGGTTATTTGACTCTTGACATTGAAAGTGGGTGAATGGCTTTTTCTGATTACCAAAAATAATGACTATGAATATCGAATTACCGATTACGAATACGAATCTATACTCCATTCCACGAATATACGACTGTTTTAAATTCGCTTTAAGGTGTCGATTTAAATGGTCCAATGTACTGAATTGTACAATAGTAAATTCTCCCCATTTTTAAAATACTGTTACGACGGATATAAATCTCAGATTTAAATATGAAGTCATGATATAAATATAAAGTTAATAGTTTATAAAACAGTTGTAATTCAGATTTTGAAATATATAATTACTATCATTGAGTTTATTTTTTCATTTCAATTATTTCATTGTAAACAAGTTGGTTTTTGAATTATGTGATTTAAACGAAATGTAACAATACTTAAGTGATCAAATAGTGTAAATTTTTTAGTCGAATATTCAATTAATATTAAAAAAAAAACAAAAAAACTTACTTATTCACTTATTCTCTTAATCTTCTAAAACTATCATCAACGATCAGATTCACAGCCATAATCAGTAGGCGATATATGAAACTGTATATAAATTTTCGTTACTTTTTAATATCTGTAACGACTCGGTACTTTAACTATCAATAGCCGGTATGTTATACCCATTATTTTCGGAACTTTTAAGAGTACATAAACTCAAAGCAAACAAATATTTAAAACTAACAAAGTGAAATATTAGATCCTTTTTCTGGTTTGTGAACCATCGTTCTGCCAATTTCTTTTCATTTATATTAAAAATAGTATATTTCTTTTTATTACAGTTGTAAATACCTAATAAAGTAATAAAATGTGTTATATCAAAGAAACCCGGCACGACTCTTGTTGTTTACATTTCACGGAAAGCTTACCCAAATGTCTGATGAACACATTTGGCTTCATAGACGTCATTGTATTTATTTGTAGATTTTAACTGAAATAATTTTAGTTTAGATGTCATACTAGTAGACCCTTTTTATTGGAATAATGATTAGACCAATTGACCTTCATACTTCTACTTGCACAGTAAAATATTCGTTGTAGCAGTAAACCAAAACAGTCGTATATTCGTGGAATAGCCTATACAAGGATTTCCCTACGTTCTCAAAACGATTTATACCCATACCGGAAGTCGTAAATGAGTTAAAAGTAATAAATAATAATTTTTTTGTTGATGGTAGTAAAAATAAAAGATGAATTACATTATCCAATTTATTTTTAAGTAAAATATTTATGTTGATATTATTTTCTTTAAATCCCATTTGAAGGAGTCTGGGGAATTTTTTTCTCACAAAACACAAAAAATTGTGTTGCGAATGGAGTATCGCAAACTAAATTGCATTGTAAATGTAACTTTTTAATCTATTTGATTAAAAAAACCGAAAACCGGTTTTTAGGAAAACCGGTTTTTTCGCCGTTATAACTGCCAGGTTAAACTGTAAGCAAAAAAAAACCGGTTTAACCGAAAACCGGTGTTTTGTCAAAAACCGCCATCCCTACCTGGTAACTTACTCCATCCTGTCTATCATTTTAACTTCATCCTCTTTCTCCTCAATATTTTCTCCTTTGTAAGGATGTAGTGGCGTCATGTAATTTGTTTGACTATTTCTGTCCAATTATCTCTCGGGAGAACCTGTAACTCTTAAAAAACGCGTCCTCAGGTGGCGGATAGGGGAATGCTTGACCCGGTTTACCGGTCGGACTAGGAATGGCCCGAACCGCAACTGCTAAATTAATTAAAATATGGAAAGACCGAACAATAACAAGGAATACTAAGCTCAGGTTGGTCAATGCCCTTATTTTTCCCATTGCTACATATGCAGCTGAAACATGGACTCTCAAAAAAATCGATAGGAGTAAGATCGAAGCCTTCGAAATGTGGGTATATAGAAGAATTCTACGCGTGTCCTGGACAGAACATAGAACCAACCTGTCAATTCTGGAAGAGCTTCATATAAAAGACAGGCTACTAAAAAAAGTAAACCAAGCATACCTAACTTACTTCGGCCACATAGCTAGAAGGACGGGCACCATGGAACTATTGGTAGTAGAAGGAAAGGTAGAAGGCCGAAGACCAAGAGGAAGATCTCCAATACGATGGGTAGACCAAATGAAGAGTTTGGTGGGAAAATCCTTACATGAAGCCGTCCATATGGCACAAGATCGCAGTCAATGGAGACAGCAGACTAACAATATTTAGGGTGTCACTACGCCCTGACAAGGGCTAAAGGATTGAGGAGGAGGAGGAGGGAAATAAAATTCCTCCCGAATAGAGATCGATATATTAGGAATAAGCGATACAAGATATGTCAGATCTGGCGAACTCAATGCAGACAATGGACGAATTTATTACTCTGGAAGCAGCGACACTCAACACAGATATGGAGTTGCTATGATCCTCAGTGAAAAGTAACGAGATCAGTAACAGGCTTCGTTCCGATGTCCGAAAGAATTATAATGCTGCGGCTATTGACAACCCATGGAAAAATGAACTTAATTCAGGTTTATGAGCCAACTGCTGATAAAAATGAAGAAGAAATAGAAAACTTTTATAGCGAACTTCAAAAAATATTACATATCACAGCATCTAGAGATATAATAGTGATCATGGGTGATTTCAATGCAAAAATTGGCGATGGAAATTGCTACCCTAATGTAGGACCATATGGGCTTGGTGAACGATCCGACAGAGGAGATCGCCTAATAGAATTTTGGCAGGAGCATAATATTATAGCCGCAAATACATTGTTTAAATTACCTAAGCGACGTCTTTATACATGGAAATCGCCAGCTGGACTACATCCTAATATAACACAGATATCGAAACTCAATTCAGACAGTAAAGGCATATCCAGGAGCAGACGTATCCTCTGATCACAGTCTTCTTATTGCTAGGTTTCAACTTCAACTAAAAAAGACCCAAAAAAGCCGTAACAACAATAAACTTAACATACAGAAACTAAAGTCAGACGAAACAAAAGAAAATCTGAAACACGAACTCAACACAAATCTACATAGAAACCCAAGAAATAATTACAACGTAGAGCAGCAGTGGCAATTCTTCAAAACCTCTATATTGTAGCCAAGTAAGAAAGTATTTACAACAACCAAATGTAAGAAAAAAGAGTGGATCACCGAAGAACTTCTAGGATTGATGAATGAAAGGAGAAAAAACAAACATCAATACGATCCGCTATATACAGCTTCAAAACCAAACAAGAAAAATAAGGAGGCTAAAGAAACCTACTTCTCTGAAAAATGTAAAGAAATAGAACAACTGCAAAACAGATATGACAACTTTAATATACATAAAAAATTCAAAGAACTAGCCGGAGTAAGAAATAGAATAATCTCAAATATATTGCTCGACAAAAATGGAAATATTATATTGGAGACAGAACAAAAACTACGACGATGGAAAGAGTACATCGAGGAGCTATTTCATGACCAGAGAGAAGCTAGTACATCTGTAGATAGCCAAACCGGAGATAACCAGAGATAACCAAATCAGAGGTTAGTCAGGCATTTAACTCAATGAAAACCAATAAATCTGCTGGTCCAGATGAATTACCAAGCGAGCTATTAAAGTTGGTCAACGAGAAAAACCTGGACATAATGGTAGAACTGTTTAACGCTATCTATACTACAAGAATCATCCCTAGAGAACATCATTTGTGTGTTTGCCAAAGAAAGTGAATGCCAAAGAGTACAGTGACTATCGAACCATAAGCTTAATGTCACATACCTTGAAAATTCTGTTGAAAATTATCCACGCCAGAATTCACTCTAAACTCGAGCTGGAAATTAGTGGCAGAATATGGATACCAGAGAGGCAGTATTCTCCTTCAACGTGCTGACACAGAGATGTTTGGATGTTAACCGTCCTCTTTACGTCTGTTTTATAGACTACAATAAAGCGTTTGATAAAGTAAAACATGACCGACTCATGGAAATTCTAAAAATTAAAAACCTAGATGAAATAGATTTAAGGCTAATAACAAACCTTTATTACAATCAGCGAGCAATAGTACTAATTGAAAAAGAGACATCTGCAGAAATGGAAATAAAGAGAGGAGT